GGGGGGGTTCCCTGTCTGGGCGCCCCCTCCCCAAATTCAGGTGCCCCATTCGGTACAAACCAGTCCCTGGGGGGGGGTCCCTGAGTGGGAGCCCCCTCCCCAAATTCGGGCTCCCCATTAGGGGGGGGTCCCTCCTCCACAAACCAGTCCCGGGGGGGTTCCCTGTCTGGACGCCCCCTCCCCAAATTCGGGCCCCCCTTTCCCAAATTCGGGTGCTCCACTGAGCACAAACCAGTCCCGGGGGGGGGTCCCTGCCTGGACGCCCCCTCCCCAAACTGTGTCCCCCCTGCCCCGCAGGTCCTGGAAGGGGAGTACAACGCGACGTGGGCGCGGCGCTGGGGGTCCCCCCCGCCCCCCCAGACCATCTCCCTGCTCTGGGCGCTGTCGGTCGCCATCTTCTCGGTGGGGGGGATGGGCACGGCCCTGGCGGGCGGGGCCATGGCAGAGAGGCTGGGCAGGTAAAGGGGGCGGGGCTTAGCGGTGGGCGGGGCTCCTCAGGGAGGGGGGTGTGGGCGTGGCTTGATTGGGTGTGGAGTAAAAAGGGGTTGGGGAGTGGGTGGGGCTTAATGGGGTGTGGTCAAGTGGGTGGAGCCTAAAGGGGCATGGTCTGTCTTAAAGGGGAATAGTAATGAACAGGGTGGGGATTAATGGGGGAAGTGGGGCGGGGCCTAAACGGGTGGTGCTTAAAGGGGCGTGGCCTCACAGACCAGCACCCAGGGTGGGTGTGGTCACGTGGCCACGCCCTTTCCCTTCCCCCTCTCCCAGGAAAGGCGCCCTATTGGCCACCAACGGCCTGGCTGTGGTGGGCGGGGCCCTGATGGGCGGAGCCAAACTGGGCCCCACCTACACCCTCATCATCCTCGGCCGCTTCGTCGTGGGCGCCTATTCAGGTACCGCCCTCAGTTGGGGGCGTGGCTTGGCTATGGGGGCGTGGTCTGTATTTATGGGGCATGGCCTATCTATGTAGTGGGCGTGGCCTGTCTGTGTGGGTGTGGTCTGTATTTATGGGGTGTGGCCTCACTCTGAGGGGCGTGGCCTGACTCCGTGTGGGCGTGGCCTGACTCTATGAGGGGCGTGGCCTGTCTGTACAGAGGCGTGGCCTGCATTTATGGGGCGTGGCCTATCTCGGTGTGGGGGTGTGGCCTGTCTCGGTGTGGGGGCGTGGTCTGTCTCGGTGTGGGGGTGTGGTCTGTCTCGGTGTGGGGGCTTAGCCTGGCCCTGTGTGTGGGCGTGGCCTGTCTCTGTGTGGGGGTGTGGCCTGTCTCGGTGTGTGGGCGTGTCCCGGTCTGACCCCGCCCCTCAGGGCTGGTGTCGGTGCTGGTGCCGCTCTACGTGGGCGAGGTGGCGCCGCTGCGGCTCCGGGGGGCTCTGGGGACCCTGCACCAGCTCGGGATCGTCCTCGGCATCCTGGCGGCGCAGGTGGGCGGGGCCTGGCGGATGGGCGGGGCGCGAGGGGGCGGGGCTTGATTGGGAGGGGTCGCTGGGGGCGGGGACTGTGGGGAGGGGGGGGC